GTTGGGGGACGGCTGAGTTTTTTGTCAAGTTAATTTCTCGGGTATTGATGTTTGGTGACATTCACTTGTTGTTTATCTTCGGGTGCAGCTGTAATGCTGAACGAAAATGCACAGCTTGTTTCGTTTATTTATTTTACACCTTTCTTCGGTTCTGCATTATGTTTGTTTGGTGAAAACTCACTGAGGCTTTTGATGTCGGAGAAGTGGGATTTCAGCAGCTGCTTCCTGCAAGCAGGGTGCTCTGTGCGCAGGCAGGGCCGGTGGGCGGTGCTGGGTGTCGTGTGGTGGGCACTCGGGCCCGATGCATCCCCTAGGTGGGGGCTTTGGGGGCCTGACCTGAGCCAGATGCCCCAGGCCCACGAGAGCAGTCACGGCTCCCGAGTGCCGAGCCCTTAGCTTGCGGGGCTCCGTGCACAGACTTGCTGATGCTCACGGCTGCCCCGGGAGACGGGTCCTGTTCTCATCCCCCAGGTACAGACGAGGAAACCGAGACCCAGGGAGCTGAAGTGACTTGTCCAAGGTCACTCAGCCATTAGGCGGCAGAGCTGGGACCTCAGATTGTCTGACCTGCAAGACCATGGAGTTAGCCAGTCGCTGACCTGCTTCCTGTGCCGCTCGCCCCGTAGGGGTCAGTGGATCCCCCTGTTTCCCAGCCTGGGGTGGGGAATGGGTACCGTACCTTTTCAGCCTTTACAAACCAAATGCTTTCATTCATTTACCCAGTAGCTATTCGCTGACCACCTACTATGTACTGGCCGTCCTATGACAGTCCCCGCCCTGTTGGCATCCACTGCCTCCCCCCCACCACCGGAGGGCGCACAGCTGGGGAAGTGCCAAAGCCAAGTGTGTGTGATCCTAAGGCCAGACGTGGTGACCACGCACCTGTCTCAGTGTCAGGCTCCTGGGGAGCCTTGGCCATGCCCTCCACCCTGAGTCAGGGCCCCTGAGACGCCACATGGCACAACCCAGACAGCATGTGCGGCCTGCAAACAGGACAACTGAGGCTGAACCCCAGGGCGGCCTTGTGGTAGCTGGGCGCCTTGGGGGGGCACGCTTCGCCCTGCACCTCCATCTCCCCAGCTGTGAAGTGGGGATGATGACACCCCTTCCTGCAAGGGGTTCCTGAGACTCAGCCGAGGCGCTGCCTGTGTGTCCCTCTGCCGGCTGCGTCCCCCTCCCTCTGGGCCTCAGTTTCCCCAGCCAGATGACCCCTCGGGTGCCTCCCAACCCTGCCCCTGTTTGTTGTATTGCAGTAGCCCATCACCTGTCCGTTGCCCCAGGGCCTCCTGTAGGATTGGCCCCGCTGCCTGTCCCGGGAGGGGGAGCTGAGGCTCGGAGGGGTGAAGGTCCCGCCACCACCGGGGAGGTGAAGCATAGGATTGGAGCCCAGCTCTGGGTGGCATGGGTTCTCTCATTCTGCCACGGCTGTGTCACGGGATGTTTGGCTCTTAAGTGATTGTCAAGTGGCTGCAGAGGAAGAGAGAGTGTCTGGTACCCAGTGACTCAGAGGAAGGCGGGAGTGCAGCCCAGGACAGGGCCGGCATCCCAGGCACAGGCGTGGACGAACTGGTTCACAAGCCTTTAAGACAGCGAGGCCCGCTCCCAAGCAGACTGAGCATGGCTGGGGCCCATGGGGCCGCGGGGCCGAGTTGAGAGGTGCCCGCTGGTTCAGACGGTGGGAGATGCCGTGAAGCCATGAGCACAGCCGCCTGCCGGTAGTGAGACTAGGACAGTGGCGTGAGAGGGCCGGAGCTGGGGTGGCCACGTTTACATTCTCGCCTCCTCCCAGGAAGCCGCCCTGACCGCCCACATGGAGCTGATCCTGCCCTGGGTTATGGTTCTGTCTCCTTCCCCATCTCCCCTCACTGGGCCAGGAACGCCCTCGACGGGGCCTGTCCGGCTCAATCCCAGGCCCGGCCCAGAGCAGGCACTGCCCAGTCTCTGCTGTGAGGAGATGAAAACGTGAACGGAGGAGGACTTCTTTTGGTCCAGCCCCTGTTTCTGTGTGTCCTTCAGCAACCTGAGCTCTTCAGTCTCGTCTGTCCCTGCCATCCGTCCATTTGGCCAGCAAGTACTCTCTGAGCGTCTGCTGTGTGCCGTGCGCTGTTCTAGGCCTCGGGGGTGCGGGCCTTGACCGTACAGACAGACACCCCTTCCTCCCGGAGCCGGCATCCCAGTGGGAGAGGCAGACAGTAAGCTGTGCAGTAAAACACAGGGGTGGATGCCGCGGGGGAGCACGGACAGGGAAGGAGGGCAGGGGCGCTGGGGGGCCTTGTGGTTTTAAACAAGGTCAGGGAGACTTCCCTGAAAAGGTGAGGCCCCGCGTGGCTCCCGGGAAAGGAGCACTCCAGGCAGAGGAAACAGCAGGTGCAAGGCCCGGAGGTGGGAGAGGCGGGGGCCAGCAACCAGGAAAGGGCCCTGGGTGGCAGTTGTCGCGTGCATGTGTGTCTGTGTACGTGTATGTCTGTGTGCATGCATGTCCATGTGCGTGCATGTGTGCAGGGGTGAGTGTAACCGGAAGCTCACAGAGGTGACGGGCCCCCCTGCATGGCCTGGTGGCCGTCCTGACGGCTTCAGCTTTTCCCCAGGTGAGACAGCACCACGGAGGCTGAGATGAAGGAGCCACAGGTGCTGATCCCCCCCGGGTGCCCCTCGAGAGCAGACTCTGGGACGGAGGGCAGAGTAGGTTTCCGCCGTCCTGCAGGCCAGAGATACCCCAGACTCGGGGCGCAGGGCCGAGGCGGAAGTCGGGGGGGAGCAGAACTGGCTGAGAGCTTGAGCCCCAGGAGGCATAGGCAGAAACCGGCCCCCCTGCCAGTGCCTCAGAGCGGTCAGGCAGCGGGGAAGACAAGAGACACTCTGAAGGTCAAGGCCACGGCTCCACCGCCCGGCCCAGGAGCTCGCACCCCCATTGTTAGTAACTAGGAGGGGGCGTACGTGACGGGCTCACAGGCCCTATTTTGCTGCTCTTCTATTTCCCAGCTCCCATTACCTGCCCACAAATTCAATTTCCAGAGGCCATTGTGCACCTCCAAAGCCTGGCGATTGTAAGGAAACCAAGAGCGTCGAGGAGGCAGCGAGGAGAGGAGGCGTGTGTCTGAGCCAGGGACTGCCGCCCCTACCCCCCCCCCCCGCCCGTCCTGCCCCCTCTCCCTTTCCATGACTAACAATGATGGATACAGGCCTGCAGGCTCCTGAGCCCCGGGGGCAGCCTCCCACAGCTTCCCCAGCCTCTCTGCGTCCCCGCCTTCCCACTCCATTCACTTCTCCCCTCACTGGGCACACATTAGTGAGCACCCACTAGGTGCCAGGTAGTGAATGGGACAGCTCCGTTCCCATACGAAGAAGTGCCACGATAGCGGGGGGGTGGGGGGAGCATCTGAGGAGGGGGCGCGGGAGCTGGGGCTCAAACACAGGGGATCGGCCCTGCAGGAGCAGAGGTTTCGCAGTGGGCGTGCAATGCACTGGCCCGGAGGGGCCAGCTCAAGTCATGCCACTAGAGGACTCAGGATTCCCGCGCCCTGCCTTGCAAAGCCATAGGAGCTTGAGACCCCAAGCGGTAGCACCTGTTCTAGAAGGCTCGCTTGGGCTGCTCTGTGGAGACTGGACCCAGCCATGTGGGGGTGGCAGGAACAGGGATTCAGGTGAAAGTGCCTGGATCAGGCAGGTAGCTGTGGAGAAGATGAGACAGGGTCAGTGCCCCGGTCGCCTTGGGAGGAACATGGTGAAGAAACAGGTTCAGAGAGGCCAAGTCACTAGCCCAGGACCTTCTCCAAGAGGCCCAGGATTCTGCATGTCTGGGCCAGGGGCCGGGCCGGGCTCTGGAGAGACCCACGTGAGATACATGCCCTCGGGAGACCCCGGCCTAGTGGGGAGTCAAGACAGGATCACAGGGCTGTTTGTCCCCCTGGAAGACTTCACGGAGGAGGTGTTTGAGGACGGGATTGGGACGGCCAGCCCTGAGCCCAGCCTCCCCCTGCCACATCCCTCCCAGGAAGGCCAAAGGGACCAGCTCACCCTCTCCTACCCCCTCTGTCTCCCTGGCACTCCCTAGCCAGCACCGGAGACTCCCATGAGACTTGGGGAGACGGTGGCTTTGGCGTTGCTTGGGTTTAAATCCTGCCTCCAGCACTTCTAGCTAAGTAACCTTAGACTTAACCCTGTTTGCGGCTCAGCTCCCTCCCCTGGAAGAGGCAATCATCATACATACCTGCAGGATTGGTGAGAGGAGTAGGGCTGTAGCACATAGTAGGTCCTCAGGAGTGTTTGGGGCCCGGAGGGCCTGTGTGTGCTGAGCCCATTGTGCGTTGTTCTGGTCACGCTGTGTGTCTACACCCCCTTCCCCTCTCCTCATAGAGAACTCCTCTGCATGCTTCAAAGTCCAAGTCAAATAGCCCCTCCTCTCCAGAGCCACCTCGTATTGTTCTTCCCTCCGTGCCTCCCCTGGAATCTCGGAGCATGATTTCACCCGACATTTATTGAGCACCTGCTGTTATCAGCCGCATACTATACCATTAAGAGTCTGCAACCTCGAGGAAAGCTGCAGAAGCTTCTACTTGTTTCCCCAGCTATTGCCCTTGCTTGGCCCATCCTCTCTGAAGTGTTGCGCTCCTGGCAAGCCAGGCAGAGATCATCGACCTCTAGGCTGCTGGGAGAGGCCTTCCTCACTCCCTCCCTAAACGGAGCCGTCTCCTCTGCGGGTGGAAGCCGGGGAGGGGCTGGCAGGCCGAGCCAGAGAGGCAGCCCTGGGTGAAGCCTGAGACCGACTGTCCGTGTCTCTCTCTCCTCTCTCGTGTTTTCTCTTCCGTGTTGGCTTCTGGTCCCTCGTGCCCCCTCCTCTGGCTCGCTCTCCTCCCTCCCGGTGCCTTGTTTCCTCTCTCGCCTCCCCGCCCTCCATTTTGCTCATCCTGGTCCCTCTCCCTTCCTGCCATTTCTCTCTTCCCGCCTCCCACCCCTCTCCGCTGTTCTTTCCTCCTCTCTTGCCATCTGGGCTCCCACAGAGCCCCCGAAGAAAAAGCGGTCTGTGGTGTTGGACGAGATCCTGGAGCATCTGGAAGACAGTGAAAACGACAGTGAGGAGCAAACCCTTCAGCTGCGAGCTGGCACCGAGAGGGTACGTGGCTTCAGGGCCCTGGGGATTGGGGACAGCCGCTCCGGCTTCTGCGCTCCCGCCATGTGGGCTGGGAAGGGGGGGTGGGGAGCGCCGTTTTGGGGGGGGCAGGTGGGAGCGCAGGCGCCCCCACCCTGCCCCAGCCCGAGTTCAGAGGGGACCTGCCCCGCCCCCCCCGCCGCCCCGCCTGGCCGTCCACTGCTCCCAGATGGGGAGACAGGGCCCCACCTTGCTGGTCAGGCGGTTGGGGCACAGAGGGACTCGGGGGCTCGCTCCTGCGCAGCTGGGCTGTCGGGGCAGGAAGCCCCCTCTCTGCCCCACACAGGCTGGGGGCCCCGGCCCAGTTACCTAATCTCCCTGGGCCCAGTGTCTGCCTCACAAACTGTTCCCACCCCGTACGGTTTTAGTGAGAAAAACATGCAGCGTTAATCCATGAAATACCCCAGCTGCGGTGGAACACCGGCTCAGAAGCTTCTGTTCTTGCCCTCCCCTCCAGGGCTGCTAGCTGGAGTTCCCACCTACGGCCATCTGCAGGAGTGCTCACAGCTGGGGACCTGGCCTCTGTCCTGCCCCAGGGGGCTTCGAGCCCTGGTTTGACTAGCAGGGGCTGACCCCAGGGCTGGGGAAGCCACCGAGCCGTTCACGAAGCTCAGATGCCAGCCGGTCGAGCCTAAGATGCATCTCTGATGGCGGGTACCCCCTGCTCATGGGTGGAGGACTCTGTGAAATGCATCCCAGCCCCGTCGAAAGGCTTATCCCAGGCTTGGGGCACCCGAGTGCACACACCTACTCCAGCCTGCAAATAACAGCCTCCCCCAGGGGGAGAGCCAGGAGGCAGGCTGGTGGGGAGGAAGGAGCCGCTCGATCCTCTGACCTGGGTCTGAATCCCAGCCTCACCGTTCCCAGCTCTGCAGCCTCAGACCAGTGAGGTCCCCTCTGACCCTCAACTCCTCTTCCTGTCCAGTGGGGGTGGTATTGTGCCTTCCTGGTGTGTGACTGTCTCAGTCAATCCAAGTAAAGCCCAGAGGAAATGCCCATCAGCACTTCTGTTTCCTTCTTAATTTGGGACCTCTGGCTGGGGCTCCAGGTGAGAGTCCCGGAACCTTCTGACTTTGCATAGAACTTGGTCTGTGTGTTTTGGTGGAAGGAGGTTCCAATCTTCATCCAGTTTGCAGAGTGGCCTGGAACCCCAGCAAAGTTCCACGGGGCAGGTGCTTCCTAGTCAGTCCTACCTCCTCCCTGGGAAGGAACAGAGACAAAAGGCCACACCCAGAGTGGCTCGCTCCCCGGCTTCTACAGGCTGTACCCACAGACATCAGGTGTGAGCACCGCATGTAGGTGGGGGCTGTACGGCGGGGTCAGTGTCAAACCTCACCCAGGCCAGCCCCTCAGGTCACCAGGTCCCTCAGTTGCCATGGGTCTTGGGTGTGACTGGGGCCCCCACCCCTTTCTTCCCCACCGCTCGTCCTGTTCATGGGTCTATCTGGTTGAACATGCAGTCTGTATCCACATTGCCACACCCACCAGAGCCAGGCCGCTGGTGGGGGTGTAGTCACCCCACTGGAAGTCATCAGACCCGTGAGCCTGGCACACAAGGGGGCTTCATTGGCACCCACTTAACTGACTCGGATGACAGTACTCGAACGTTCCCAGGGCAGGATCCGCCAACTGCTGCAGCCTGGTATTGGGTGCCAAGCGCAGGCTCTCCAGCCTGGGAGACTGGGTCCCCTTCCCTCCTTCCTGCCCCACCTGGCCTCTCTGCCCCCCACCCTGGGGGCTCACTGTCTGGAGATCTTAGGGTGCCCCATCACCCCCGCTTCATGCCACCAAGGACGTCCATGGTGTACGCCACCCTCATCTCCCTTCCCCTAACCAAGGAGCACTGCACTCTCCACAAGTAGCCGGAGGGATCCAGCTGGTTCCATGCACTGGATTATGGAAGTCATAGCTTAAAACCCTTCAGGGTCCCCCACACACTTGGAATTAAGTCACGCTCCTCACCCAGTAAGAAGGCCCTGCCACTCGTCCCTCCCTTACTTTGTGCTGGCCTTTCCAGTGCACTCCCACCCCAGGGCCTTTGCACTTGCTCTTCCCTCTGCCTGGGACCCCCTTCCCCCACATCTTTCCTGACTGTCTTTTTTTTTAGTCTCCCCTTGAGATCTTAGTTTAAATTCTCCTTCCTCACTCAGAGACAGTCCCTTACCACTTTATCAGAAGTAGCTACACTCTGCTTCTCTCCCGTGCCCGGACCTGCGCCCACACCCCTGTCTCAGACGTCCCTACCCCTGTTCCTTTCAGTCACAGCACTTAGTGCAGGGAGCGGCCCGAGCCCTGTCCTTCCCCTTTGAAAATGACTGCCACCTTGAATGGCCAGGAGGTACTCACACAATCGTAATTCTATATAGGAACCACCACCGTTGTGATGATTCTGGAAGAAGGTAAAGCACGGCTAGGTAATGGTCAGGTGAAGCTAGGTAAAGTACACTGGGGCAGAGGAGGGATACCACCTCTCCACCCTGGAGGAAGGGGAGCCGCCTGGAAGCTGCAGAGGGGAGCTTGTGGGGAGGAGTTAGAAGTGACAATAGGGGGCTCCTGGGGGGCTCAACCAATTAAGCATCTGCTTTCGGCTCAGGTCATGATCCCAGGGTACTGGGATCGAGTCCCGCATCGGGCTCCCTGCTCCGCGGGGAGTCTACTTCTTCCTCTGACCCCCCCCCCCGTGCTTACTTGTGCGCACACGCTCCCTCTCTCTTTCTCTCTAGCAAAAATAAAGTCTTTAAAAAAAGTGACACTAGGACATAAGTCGATCTAGGAAAGAACTGAGAATAAACCATAGGGGGTGCTGAAGGAGGGGTACAGCTCTGGGGCTAGGTGAGCATCCTCATGCACATGTAGACTCAGCCATTTCTCACAGGGGTCTGTGGGCCCTGGATAGTCAGGGGGAGCTAGGAAGAGGTGCTGGTGGCTGGACAGGGCCAGGGGTGATGGCAGGGCCAGAGGGGGCACCTGAGCTGACAAGGCTGTGGGGCCGGCCGTTTGCAGAGGCCGGAACTGGAACCCGCCCCCCTCCGTGTGCCCCACGGCCACACACACACACACACACACACACAGGAACGCCGGCTGTGATTCTCGGGGCCTGACCCCTGCAGGCTGGTTTCCCGGGTTCCCCTGGCAACAGGCTGCCAGTTGGGTTTGGCCAGAGATGGGCACTATTGGGCATCTGGGGGCTGGCGGAGGAGAGAAGGCAGGGCATTCCTCCCCCTTCCCTGGGTCCCGTGCCGGGTCCCCACCGAGGGTCCAGCCCTGGACTCTGGTAACACCACTGCCTCCCCAAGAGCCTCCAGTTGGGGGGTGTCGTCACCCCCTGGCCTCTGGCTCTGCCTGAAATCCCCTCTGTGGAACTGCCCGACAGGCACAGTGAGGAGATGGGGAGCTGTGGGGGCCTCCCTGCAGGGAGGCAGGGAGGAGGCGCGGACGGAAGCAGAGGTGGGAGGCCAGAAGTTTGGTTGCTCTGTGCACACGGGGCTCTAGAAGGCTGAGCAGATGGAGACCCCGGGGACCTGCAGAAGCTTGGCAATCTATGGCAGCCATGGGTGTGAGCCCCAAGGAACGCTGAAGGGTGGGAAGGACATGAAGCCGGGCTTAGGGAAGGAGGAGAGGCCACCGAGGCCCCCGGGCCTGGCTGGGGGAAGGTCTTGTACAGACAGCCCAGGGTGAGGAGGATCCTGGCTCCTGCCTGCAGGTGGAGGACGGGGGATTAGACAGGGGGGGTCTCACAGAGCTCAGTGAGAGTGGGGTGCACTGCAGCTGGAGGGGTGGGCAGAACCCACGGGCCCTGGTTCCAGGAAGACCTGGAACGGGGGAGTCTCAGCCGCACCACCCACTGCTTGTGCAACCTGCGCACAGGGTCTCAGCGTCTCCTGCCTCAACTTCCATATCTTTAAAATGGGTACGAGAAGAATTTCAGCCTGGTAGGATTTTTTTGAAAATTAAATGAAAGATCATGGGTAGGAAGCATTTAGCAGACTATGGCAAGCCTAGGGGACACTAAATCATGGCTATCATGATCGTTGCTATTATTTAACAAAGAGGAAAGTGTGGGGCATTACACCCGCGGATGCCCCAGGAAGTCAGAGCCCGGCGTGCGCACAGCAGGCCTGCTGGGCCCACCTCAGAGAAATGGGGCAGGATGGGGAGTCCCCGCATCCAGGAAGGTGGCCTGGAGAGGGTGCCCTCTGCCCACAAGCCCCAAAGCAGGCCGAGTGGGGACATCTGTTCACCTGGTCATTCCATGCACAAAGCCAGACCGAAGATGAGCCGACGGTTTCCAGGGAGCACGTGTGGGAAACAAGTGAGACCTTCCGCAGGCCCTGGTATGGCTGGGTCTCTTCCCAACACTGCGATCCGGGGGGGGTCAGCCACAGGCAGGGGTGCCGCTATCACGGTAGAATCGTCTGTTCTGAGAGCCGAGCTCCGGCCCCTGGGTCACTGCTTCTAGACCAGGCCCCAGACTTCGTTGTGTGAGGAAGGGCTCTTGCCGGCGCGCAGGCGGCCGGGGGCCCTGGCCACGGGCAGCAGCCACCATCAACACATGGAGCAGGAAGGGGCGTCCGCAAGGCCAGCCCCTCATCCTCAGCCCGTGTATTCATTCATCAAACACTTAGCAGGGCACCGGGGGATTTGAGGCCAAAAACTAGATCCACATGTGGGTCCGTGTCCTGGGCTTGAAGACCCGCGTGGCCGGCAGAAGACAATTTCCAGTGGCCCTCGCCCGCCTGTTTTCCCTCTTTTGCTGCCTCCTCGGCTTGCTTTTTTCGTCTTTTGTGGCCAGGCCGGCTCGCAGCCCCTGTCTGTGCTCCGCAGCATCTAGGAAAGGATTAGTGCAAGCCGAGCATGCAGGCTTTGGTGAACAGAGCCGAGTTTGGTTTCAACATCTAATTCAATTTGTTCTGCCGAGATTGAAATATGAAATGGTTGCCAGTCAAACGTTCAAAGGACGGGGAAGGGAGAGTGAACGCCTGCTGAAATTTAAATTTTAATGGAAATGACTTTAACCCTTTGGCGCATGCACCTTGCAGAAATAGAGCACATTCTCCCCTCCTGCGGAAGGTCCCCCCTCCCCGCTTCTCTTTTGCAGATCTTCCCTAAGACTATGTAGCACTTTTTTTTTTGTCGGAAATATTGTTAATAAAAGATTAACGGAATACTTGCTTCATAAGACACTCCCATATTTACCCCAGCCGTTGAACTGGGCACCTTCCCAGCAATGACCAGACCCCCTCTCCCCCCGGAAGCTCTGGTCACACCCAAACTCCTGCTCGGCACGTGTCCCAGGTGTAGATGGTCATCTGTGTCGCGGTTTCCGATCTGTGCCCCCACCCCCACCCCACCAGAGCCTAAGCCTGGGAGGGCAGGAGCCATGATTTGTGCGCACCACATCCCCTGTCTGGCAATATCTGATGGACTGAACGCACCCCACTTTGACCTCCCAGCAGCTGTGGGAGGTGGGTTTATGGGATGTGTAGAAACGGAGGCAGGCAGCATCCCCCCAGATGACACCACACAGGGGGCTGGCACGGGGACTTGTGCCCAGCTTCACGTTGCCGGAAGCCCGAGCTCCCAACCTGGCGGTCCCCTGCTTCTCCAGGGTGAGCGAGAGCCTGGCCCTGAGGAGGGTTGTTGGCCACACTGTCCTCTCCTCACCCCTGTGCAGGGGGCTGTGCCGCTGTCCCCGGGTTACAGGCGAGTTTGGGGCTCGGGAGGGAAGGCTTCGCATGTGCTGGGTCTGGATCCCTAACTCGGGGCAGCTTGAACGAAAGGCACCCTGTCTTTTTTTCCCCCTGATTAGACTCTTCCTGTTCGGCACCTATTTGCCATGAACCGATGATGGGCTTTTCCGGGGCGGGGAGGGGGAGCGGGTGTTTGATATCATCAAATGCCATCATGTGCCCTGGGCACATGCTGTGGCTCATGCCAGGCGTTGACCTGCCCTCCTAGGGCTCCAGGGCAGAGGGTGGGGGTGATGGGGGGGCCCCGACACTCCCTCGAGGACCGTTGGCTCCCAAGGGCTGAGCCCTTGGCTTCATCCCCAGGACCTCATAGAGCCACGGCGCCAACGCGGTTTGAACCTAAAACACCTTGGTCTGTGCGGCCAATGTGTTTGTGGAGCCTGCTGTGCACGAGGCTGGGCCGTGGGAACCGGGGAGCAGGAGTGACCTCAGCAGACGACACTCCTGGTCCCGACCAGCTGATGGCAGAGGTGGGGAGACAGCCAGCCTGCGGGTAGCTCCTGCTCTAGGGCCACTGAGGCTGTCGAGTGTACAGGGTGTCCAGAGGGGCTGAGGGAGGGCCCCTTAAGGGGATGGCATGTGAGCAGAGCCCGGGGAGGAGAGCAGCGACGTGAGTACAGAGGCCACTGCAGTAATCTGGGGGCCGGGGGTGACTCAGCCCCTCAGACGAGTTGACAGGCAGCCAGGTCCTAGACATGTGGAAAGTGGAGCCCATGGGATGGACTGAATTTCAGCTCTGAGGTTTGCAAAGCCAGGGTTGACCCCATGGTTTGGGGCTTGTGCAATGGGAAGAAAGAAGTGAGCCTGTGCTGGAGCTGGCCTGGGGGAGGCCAGGAGTTGGGGTGTAAATGTGCATTATGTTGGAGATGACCATAAGCCATCAGGGGGAGATGAAGAGCTTCAGGTTCACCAGAGAGGGCCGAGCCAAAGGCATAATGGGAAATCATCTGCCTTTCTGTAAGAAATCTAAGAAGCAGGGCGCCTGGGTGGCTCAGTCGATGAAGCATCTGCCTTCAGCTCAGGTCATGATCCTGGGGTCCTGGGATCAAGCCCCACATTGGGCTCCCTGCTCAGCGGGAAGTCTACTTCTCCCTTTCCCTCCGCCCGTCCCCCTGCTTGTGCTTGAGCTCCCTCTCTGTGTCTGTCAAATAAATAAATAGAATCTTCAAAAAAAAAAAAAAAGAAAGAAATCTAAGAAGCAATGTGGGGGACTCGCAGCACCACGTCGGTAGAGCCAGTAAATCCTAGCTCAAACCTCAGAACGTTCAAGTTCATTTTTAAGCCACCCCTAGACAGTTCCAAACTCTCTTGGCCACAGGACCCCTTTTTCCAAACAAAAGCTTTATGCAGAACCCCAACATAGAAAACAACAGAACCGCTCTTTTCAAAATCAGGGTGTAAGGCCTGGCCCCCCCACATATTCATCCTCTGTCTCAACACCCCAGGGTTTGAAGACCTGAGGTAATATGTAAACGTGACTCACAAAGCATGATGTGAAGGCTTCAGGGGTCACGAGAAGATTTTAGACAGCCCAGGGGCAAACTTGTAATGTATGAGTTTATTTTCATATGCATGTTGCAAATACAAATGCACAGGTAGCTCATCAAACCTACGATGTCACCAAACTCCTATACAAGGAGGTAAAAAAAAAAAAAAGTGTATCAGTATAAAGAAAATTATTAGACCATGAATATAGTAAAATGGAAGGGGTGAAGAAGAGCCATGAATGTTCTAAACCAGGGGTTGGCAAACTGCAGCCCGGGGGCCAGATCCAGCCACTGCCTGTTTGTGT